AAATATATTAAAATTAATATTATTTATATATATTTTTAAATAACTAATAAGCTTTTTTTATTATTATCTTCTTTATAATTATTATTTTTAATATTTAAATAATATTAACTTTATATTATAAAATATTAAATACTATAATAGTTAATATATACTCTTTAACCTTTTTTACTTTAGCTTAAACTTATAGTTACCTTACCTTATATCTTTAATTAGTTATTTCTTATTATTCAATAATATAATATATCTCATTTATATACTACGAGAACTACTTAAATTATAATAAAATTATAAGGCTTACTAGTAGTTAAGTAATATTGATTATTAGTCTATTATATACGTTTTATTAGCTAAAAATTAGAGCTATTAGGTACCTAATATATATATAACTAACCTTATCTAGAAGTATTAACTCTTATCCCTAGTTACTAACTACTAACCCTAATTACTAACCCTTGACTAGTTCTTTATAAAAAGAGATAGTAAAAGCTTAGATCTTTATAATTTTTATAGAATTCTCTACGTCTACTATGTGTAGGCGTGTTATTTAAGGTAGTGACCTGTTCTTGCCTAAGCTTGATCGGCTCTTTGCTTGTGCCTGATAAATTCAACCTTGATGAGCTGAGAGCAGAATTCCCCCCCTTTTTGGCTGATAAAACCTCCGAAGCAGGTCGGCTTTAAGGAAGCCCCCCGCTGGCTGATGGATCATGCGCGCTGCTCCATCTTGTGGCACTTGAACATCCCGGGGGCCACATTCCCTTTTAGTAACCTCAGCCTCTATAAATCATCTCATCCCTTTGGCTGTTAGGAAGGAGCAAAGCGGTCACTAGCAGGGATATACTTTAATCAGATAGCCTAAAAAAAGCAGGTACTTCCCCTGACTAGTAAGCTGCTCGGTAGTAGAAGTACTGTGGCGTAGGTAGATACCAGGGGTTATATCTCAGAGCACTGAACAGGGCACCTGCGATAAGGCTTATCTAGTAGTCCTGGGTTCTTTTCCTGGTGGATCTCGTGACCTGCTTGCTCCTTCCTGACAGCCAAAGGGATAGGAGTTTGAGTCATGTGTTAACAGAACAGCCACAGAGACCTATATATAATATTTTTTACCTTTTTAGAGAAAGGGAGTCTTTCTAGGTTTCCCCCCCTTTCCTAGTAGCTTAGGGAGCCTTCTAGTTAATAAGGTATTTATCAGGGAAAGAGTGTAGGCCAGGACATAGGAGAGCACGTGCAAGGAAGCAGACATATAGGGGCGAGGGAGGCAGCGATAATTCCATCATCCTCAGACAACCTAAGGATCATCTTATGACTGAAGTCCCTCAAGCACCTAACCTCACAGTATTATAGGGCCAGGATAAATATACTAAGAAGGGGGCTTCTTATTATCTATGTCTATATAGGGACTTACGTAGGGCTTGCCGTTATGTGGTGCTTTCCCATAGCGATTACTACTATAAGGCGCTTTTATCTAGCGTAAGCTATATAGGCATAGTCTTAAATCTATATACTACTAGACTATATAAAGATACGCTTTACTATTTATACTCTACTTAGTCCCTTATGTATATAGTGAGGATATGCCTATTAGTTAGATAGAAGGCTCCTCTTCGGCGATAAATGAAATAATAATAACAATTACACTAACAAGACCGAAAAGATGAAGCCATAACCCACCCGCCCGGGCCGAGTCGCCCCTGCCATTCAATTTCTAACTTTTAGGTTGCTGATAAACACAACATAATATAGTATTTAGCATGAATTATAGGAAACTATCTTCCTTGTATTTATTGCGTGATTCGACGCTCTTGGTATGGATTCGTGTAAAGCTTGCTATTGAAAGATGTTCTGGTACAGTGTAGAGCGTTAACCCATAAGATGAGAGAGTAAGAATTATGCAAACGAAAAGTATATATATTCTAACATTTCCAACATCGTTTAGCTTAAAGAGTTAACCACATTATCTGTTCTATCTACTTCCCGACAGAAAAAAAGCTGGAGGCCGTAGCCCTCTACAACATCAACAATGAGGCCGCTCCTATTTGTGTTTATCCTGGGTAACCTTGCGTTAGCAAAGCCAACATGGAACAACCATAACGCTAATAGCAGGAGAGCTAGCAGTAATGCAACGCAGCCATTGCCAAAGAAGCCTCTGCTCTACCCTCTTCAAGAATCCAAATCTTTCGCTTCGGGGCAAACACAAAGATTTTCCGCTTGGGTGCTGAATGGAGGTACGAAGGTTGATAAGCTGGTGCTGGAATCAATTGACTTGGCCTCAAGGAATCTATCAGCGGAGCTCAAATGTGTAACGGAACAGCTACAGGGTCTCAGGAGATTCGATGTGAGTGGGAAAACGTGGATGCCGGTGACAATTTTCTCCCCGTTGTCCGGCTTAAGCTTGGCGAGGTGGCGGGCGCGGGAGACCTGATTGTCCCTCTCAACTTCACAGTCTTCACTCGAGAGCCATCTACGGGCAAGCTTCAAGTGTCTCACTTTCAAGAGACATCCGTCAAGTGGACGATTCCAACGATATACAGACAGGCAGATTCGTCAATCTTCCCACAACCGCGCGCCATTGCCGTGTCCGCCCTGCCCAAAGCCAGCGACGAGCAGGCACGGTTGAGACAGTACTTTTTATGGTCCGACTTCCAATGCACTGGATTTTATCTGAATGCGGGACTTGATCTCAACGTCACTGTGTCCGGAGTCAATGGCGCTGGGCCGAAGCCTGAGGTTCTCGTCGGTACCCCAGCACTGCTAGACGTTGAGCATCCCAGTGTCGACATGGAGGCTTCTTTGGACAATCCACTTGGTTTGCTGGATAACGGTCATCATACACTTACTCACCAGTCTGGCGGTATACTATATATCCGCTATGTTTACGAACATAACCAAACAGGACGAGGTCCAGTCACCGTCACGCTAGGCCAAGGCGACGCGGCCCAGCCGTTTCCCCTTTTCCGAGAAGGCGTCACGACGGATGCCGAATGGAAAAGCCTGCTGGCGCAAACGACCGTCCCCTTTGCCGAGCACGACGGCGAGCGGGTAATCATCACCGGACTGGCGGCTAGGGCCAAGGAATACGCCGACCGAGGCCAAGATCAAAACGAGTTGCTGCGTATCTATGCACGCATCATTGCCGCCCAGGACGCCATAAGCGGCCTGAACAAAACTGCCCCAGACGCCAGAGACAGACCCAGTCCCCTGAGACCCATGGTCGTCCAGGCCAACTCCGAACGCTACGCCGACGCAACAGATTACCGCGCCGCGATAGGCA